TGAATGAAAAAGGGAGCAATAAGGCATGTATTAATAAAAACTTATTTTAAAGTATGCAAATTATAAACACCAAAGCTTCTTGTCAACAAGATATATCTAAAAAAAATCAGAACTATAATTCACTTGGAGAACCGCCTTTTTAAATTACATATTAACATTTTTATGGTTACAGTTCTGATTTTAGTTGAAAGTGTAGAGATATGTTAAAGAGTAACAGCATATGCAGTTTATTAAATTAATTATTTATTTAATATTAGCATGTAGCAAATAGATTCCCTTATAAGCTTGTCACATGCATAAATGAAGAATTTTACTGTAAATTCAGAAAGTAAGAAAAATACAGGACATGATCTGCATTCTTACTATACTATTTCTTTTGATAGTATTACAGTTAGTACTTTTCACATGGAGACATGAGAATTTGTTGCTATAAAATTGAATAAATGGTTAAAAATTGTCATTAACATAGTTACCTATTTTTATTGCTCTGAGAGTGAAGTGGTATTTTGCTTAAATAAAGTGCAGTGTAATGGAAACACACACACATACCTATATGCATATTTATAGTTAAAATAATTATACATGGAGTGGCACAGGAACATGTTAGTATGCCAACTTTATCTAACCATTTTCCATGGAAACTGTATCAGCCAACTGAAGAATAAAACTGTAATACCTGCGTGAAACACCCTCACCTCCAAGCATCAATAATGTTGTTGTGGGAGGATTAGAGAAAGAGAAAGAACATTATGCCACTGTATAAATCACAAAGAGGCCCATAGCTTGGATACTTTGTGTACTTCTTATCCCCTCGTGTCAGTAAAGCAAAACATACAAATTAAAAAACAAAATACAAATCAAAAAGCCTGGAAAAAGGGCAACAAGAATGACCAGAAGTTTGAGATGGCTTCCGAAGGAGGAAGAACTGGGAAAGCTAAAAAACTTTAGCCTGGAAAGGAAGGAGCATGGGGCAATATGGAAATTGACCACACAATCAAGGAAAGGATGGTTAGGAATCAGCTTTTCATTCTTCTTATTCACACCAGAATAAGAGAACATGAGATGAACCTACCAGGAGCATTGTTCAAAGCTAAAACAGGGAGGCCTTTTTCATGCAACAGTCTAGACCTGTGGGTCTGCTTACTGAATGGTATTATCACAGAACAGCTGATGTTGGCAGAGACCTCTGGAGATTGTCTACTCAAAGCCCCCTCCTCAGAGAAGTTTATACAGGTTTAAGGGGAAACTATAAATACTTAGAGACTCACTGACTTCTACTGAACAAACTACAGGACACTCAGGAAATCCCCTGTTTGAGGGAACATGGGAGGGTACTGGAGGAAAAATGTTATGCACGCACTTTTTATATTCTTTCCTGCAACCGACTTATGTCCACTGTTGGGAATAGCAATGTTGGGTTAGAGGGCTCTTGGCTTCAACCTGTACATCCATTCTCCTTTTTTCATGTTAACTAATACACAATGCAAAGCCTAAAATATCAATGCTTCATGAAAGATAAATAATTATGCACCTGATTATTAAATCAGCAAGTCATGCAGAACCCATCTCCTTATCTACATACAAGTGAAGAAGCATCTGTTTTCGCACAGAGGAGATAGAGAAAGATTACCACACACATATTCACAGCACATACAAAAGTGAGAAACTATCGTTTTATGACTTGCCTGTTTTAAGAGATTCTGATGTTCCAGTGGAGTTAGTCCTTCTATATGATAAAGTCACTTTCTTCTTACATTTATCTCAGTGCTCTGCCAAACTTAGATACACAGCTCTGTGTAATGTGTACTCTACAACTTCAGTCAGACCTTGCAAGCTGTCTAGTAACTGCTAAATGAAATGAAGCTTTTCAGTTAACAATCTTCCACCAGAAACCTACCTTTTCTGTTACCTGGCACATGAGACCTAACTGATTGTCAAAACAAATACTATTAAATCACTCTTTGGGTTAATGGTGGCACACAGCTGAACAAATGCGCCACTTATTAAGCCTTTTGAAGGGCAGGAGATCCTTTTGATTATTGCCTGGATACGTTTTGTGTAATGTGCTCTAGGTGGCCCTGCCTTGGAAGGGGGTTGGACTAGATGATCTGCACAGGTCCCTTCCAACCCTAATGATTCCATGATTCTGAAAAGCAGCTGAAAGATGCTGGAAAAAATCTTCAGTTCTGCATGTAATTCAGCAAATAATCAAATATAATCCTAAAAGTAGATTTTAAGAGCACTAGTCTCCCTTTATGAATTGAAGGATAGCATCAAACTTATTTGTGACCCTGCATATTTCTCAGGCCAACAAAGTTATCTTATGCCACTAAATAACTTTAAATTCTGGAAAAAGATTACTTAAGAGTAGATCACAAAGGACAGAATGACATTAAAAAATCACCTCTGTCTTCCCTAACAAAAGCATTACAAAACCCAAATGTGCTATAAATATCCTGAAAAAGTACAGTGAAGCTATAATACTCAAGAACTTAATCTAAGTACCCGAAACACACATTTGAAAAAGGCTCAATGCCAGCATGAGTGGGGAAGGAGGAATACTTTAACTATTATTGGTTTTACTTTTTTAAATCCCAAGCCAAACATGCAAAATGGTCTGGGACCAGAAGGTGAAAAAGTGAGGATGAAACAACTGTGGATTAAATATAATGAAAAAATATCTGAGTATTTGATGAAGAACAGTTTCTCTTCCTCAAAATACTTGCAGAATACTATGAAAAGGCCTCAGAATTCCTATTATATACTCATTATATCAACCATATGTAAGTTGGGTTGAACTGTCTTCTGAGAGCCCCACTGAATACAATGACAGCTTTATTATTAATTTGTTAAAATATACAGTGTTTGCTGTTGTGGCAATCAGTTCCTTTAATTAAGAAGAATAAAATACAAAAGAAAGTAGGTGGGCATTCTTTCAGATTGTAATCTGTTTCCTGAAGCCCTAATTCAGTGGCAGTTTGCCCAGGACAGAACTGAATTACAACTCCCAACACCCCTCTCATTTCCAGTGAGTTGTTTTAATTTTAAACCAAGGGTTTGAAGACAGAAAGATATTTCATCTAACACACAATTCAAGGGCTATCCCAAAAGGCATGTTTAATATTTATTTCTGAAAGAAGCCTGTAGGGTTTTTCATGTAATTGGTTCCCACAGTATTTAAGAAAAGTTGAACTGTTCACTATACTCCTGGGCAAAATACCACATACATCATAACTGAAGCTGCCAGCGCTGCCTGCAGTTAAGTCAGTCCGACATTTATCCATTACTGAACACTTTTCATTATTGGCTGTTTCCAGTTTTACCAACCACAAGCCATCCCAAGCCAGATCCAAAAAACAAGGAGTCTCTAAATGATACCAGATTTTTGTCTTTCCTCCTGCCCATTCCATAATGAGTGTGTAACAGGCAGTAAGACTCCTTACTCACTTGAGTATCTGTGGCTTTTTGCTAGAGTAGAAGCTATTTCTCCCTTCCATGTTCTCCAATTATTCTGCTTTTCCCATCCTCCATATCAGTCCTATTCCCCAGCCTGTACATAAGTTTTGTTTAGACTGCTTAAAGCAGGTGGAACAAGTCAACTTGATGATCTTTTTGTTTTGAATTTCCACTTGTACACTTTAGTTGGAATGGGAGCAGATGCCGAACTGTAAGAAATGAGTTATGTCTGTCTTCTGAAGCATATCAATGTAGAAGGGGCAATGAGCTGAAAAAAAGTCCTTTCCCTGGACCCACTCAGAAGAAGAAATTTATGAGTATGACAATTCTTGTTGTATCATCGCAACTGTATGTTGCATCAACTTACCTTAGCGTAGTCTTACAACACTCATTAAAACCTTAGTGATCTTGGCAACACTAAAAAACCTGATTTTAACTGTTTGCAGTTTTTTTCACTCTGAATCCATGATCAGCTCCTCCTGATGGCCAGTGCTGGACTCAAAAGCAAGGGCAAAGTAGTAACGCTCACAATGTTTGGAGTAAGTTCCCAAGCAGAAGAGAGGAGAAATATAAGTAATTTCACTTAGTTCAGAAAATTCATTTGTGAAAGAAGGAAGGACACTGCAGCTTGAAAAAAGAAAGTCTTTGTGCAGTATAGCAGACCACTGCAAAAGTATTTCAGTGCACTAAAAATACTTCACTGCACTGTGAAGTATTTTAGTATGTAGTGAGTGGTGTAAGCTAAAAAATGACATATTTGAGTTATCTCACAGGGACTATAAGATTAGATGTATTTAGTCTGAAGCCTTAAACAGATGGAGAATGATGATGGACTGTAGGAAATTTCTTTGGATATATGTTGTCACACACATACTATAAATCATAGAATCACAGAATCGTTAGGGTTGGAAAGGACCATAAGATCATCAAGTTCCAGCCCCCCCGCCATGGGCAAGGACACCTCACACTAAAACATCACCCAAGACACCATCCAACCTGGCTTTGAATGTCGCCAGGGACAGAGCATTCACAACTTCTCTGGGCAACCCATTCCAGTGCCTCACCACCCTTACAGTAAAGAACTTCTTCCTTATATTTAGCCTAATATTCCCCTGTTTGAACCCATTACCCCTTGTACTGTCACTACAGTCTTTAATAAAGAGTCCCTCCCTAGCATCCTTGTAGGTCAAATACTACCTGTCATCTAAATTTGATCGCAAATGAATTCTCTCTTTGAGTGCAAAACACAGGAGTACATACATACCTGTAAACATAATGACATAATGATTTAAAAAAAAAATTAGGGTCAGTTTATGTCAGGAGTTTCCACACATAATTCAGAAAAGCACTAGAAGATGAGTTTCCAGATAAAAGGGCCTGATGTTAAACAGTGACTGCTTTAACGTAATAATATTTTTGATCACTAGATTGAACATCAGATTCAACTGAATTCACAGACTGCATGAAGTAATACCACTGCTCTGAAATCTTAGCAAATAAATGTATATTAACTGAAGCAATTATATGACAATATTCATACTAACCTGCAATGAAATATTCTTCCAGGTCCATCAACACATACACCTCCATTGTAACAGAGAACTGAGTTCAGTGCAGGCTCACTGCAAACATCAACGTCAACTTCACAAAACCTGCCAGTGTACCCACTCAGGCAAGTACAAACAAATGCATTGACAGCATCTTGACAGGAACCTCCATTAATGCAGGGAGCAGATTCACATTCCTGAGGAGAGACATAATAATTGACTACACTGCTTTAAACGCATTACTTATTCATTCATTTCAACAGCAAGTGCAAGAGAATGAATCTGGAGATTAGAATAAGTGTTAGACTTTATTGTCTGATGAACAAAAGCCTCTAATTTGGGATAATTTTTGTTTACACAAAGATCCTTTGATTGCAACTCATACTCATTTTTGAACTATGCTTGTTCTTATTAATTAATTTTGGAGACATGCAAATATATTGTTATATAAGCAGTCTTACAGCTGTAAGTATGTGCTTCCCACTCATGTTTCCTTTATTAAAAGTTTAAAACATGTTTTTGAACCATAGTTTATACAATTATTCCTTTTAAGTTTTTATAATAAAGACTATTCCAGTGAAAAAAATCACATTAGTCAGGCAATTCTGGATAGAGTATAAAATTACTTATATTAACCAATGCACACAAGCCTTTTATCAGTATTTCATGATAAATACTTTCTCATTATCAATTAATGCATAAAATTGTAAACAGAAACACATAGAAATGTTTATGTGTTCACATAATAACAATTCCCTCTGATAAAGCTAACGTGAAAGTAATCAAATTCAAACCATGCAATGTAGCAGCAAATCAATGTTTCCCCAGAATTACAGATGAGTTTAGTTAGTGCAGTTGCCAGTGCAAAAAATGTGGTTTTGCTGTTGAGCACAGAAACCTAGTTTTGGCCTATATCCCAGAGGAGGCTTGTTTTGCTGCTACCACTCAAACAGTCTAGCTAAATTCAGTATTTTAAATTTATTCTCACACTCCTGTAACTTTAGGAGGTTTAATTCTTTAAAAATATCCAAGGGCAGTCAGATTTCTTTCAGGTACTACACTTGCTTTGACAGAATGCAAATTCAGATATCCAGGGGGAATTGTGAGATAGTAACTTATTTTCCTATAAGCTCTCCAGCTGGGTGTATATAAGATGATATATTAGTGAGCATTACCTAAACTAATTGAATTACATATCCCATGGGAAGATGGGGATAGTTTTACACACTGCCAAAAATCCTATGTCTAGGTTCTAGAAGTAGTCTTTTTGCTATATTAATTACATTTGGGTTTGGCAAACATGTCTTCTTTGTTGTGCTCATAAAAAAAAATCTCAATTCACAGTTCCAACTTTCTGCCTTTTTTTCCTGTTCCAGTAATTTCTCTTGTTTAGTGTCCTTAATTTATATGCATTTGTATCCATCTCTACTACTTCTGTTATTACAGCTTTGCACATTAGTAGAGTAAATTATGAATCTATCAAATAATGGATAATTAAAAAAATTAAAATTAAATAGTACTAAAATTAAGTGAACTACTGCACTAGCATTATTGCATTCTGCACCAAACACAGACGATTCCAGCTGGTTCACTGAACCTATCACAGGGCACAGCTAAGTCCAGCAGCCAATATGATGGCACCTCTGGGAAAGTATGTTTAAGAAAGAGTAAAAACCACTGTGCAGCAGAACACAAGAAAGAGAGGAAAAAGTGTGAAAACCAGCCGGCAGACACAAAGGTCAGAGAAGAAGGAGAGAGAGGTGGTGGTTCAGGCAATCTCCACCAGAGATTCTTCTGAAGCCCCTGCAGAAGACCACTGCGAAACAGGTTGGCCTCTTTAAGCCCATGGAGGACCACAGTGGAGCAGATATCCACACAGCCATGTGTGTGAATACTGCACCAGAGCAGGTGGATGTGCTCCAAAGGAAGTTGCAACCCATGGAGTGCCTCTGCTGGAGCAGGCTCCTGGCAGGATGTACAGCCTATGGAGAGGAGCCTGTGCAGAAGCATATTTTCTGTCAGGCTGGGAGGAAGTGTTCTAGGTTTTCATCAAGAGTAAATTAATCTTCCCAAGTTGAGTCTGTTTTGCCTGTGACAATAATTAGTGACCATGACCAATTTCCCTATTCTTATCTTGATCCATAAGCTGATGTGGAAGGGGAGTGCAAGAGCAGCTGGGTGTGTGTCTAGCAGCCAGCCAAAGTTAACTCACCACACCTAATTTTACTCAGGCTGGAAAACTTTCTTTCTGTCATATCAGAGCAAGTAACCTGTACTCACAGTTTACAGCATAACAATACTGTCCTTTGCAGCTCATTTTTAGAACATGAACAGCTTCAATAAGCTGTCTTATAAAGATATCAAATGATATCACAAAATGAAAATTACACAATTATCATTATTTGTATAGAGTTGTTTGGTGTGTTTTTTGTGTGGTTTTTTTCACTTCACCAGTCTGACACACTTTACCCTCATTCAAATATCTTTGAGTTTTCTTGTATCTGATCTCCTAGAGTAAAGCAGGAAGGCTCCCTTCCATTAGGCTTTTTTCTTCTGTGTCTGTTTTTTGCTGTGAAGCATACACTTTTCCCACTTTGATCTACCAAGGAATCCTTTGAGTTTATGTGTTGTTAACAGGCAATGACCTTGCAAAAAACTTGGCAGTTATAATGGACAAGCTATCAACATGAACTCTCATTGCAATGCTATGGAAAAAAATTGCTAATGCTATCTTTAAGTCTTCAGAGAAAGGAACTGTGACTTGCACTTAGATGATTATTCCTCTTTTTATGGCTAGGGGAAACTGAAACATTGTGTCAAGTTCTAGAATCCATTTATTATAAAGGATGTCAAAAATCTGAGAATAGAAAATGATTTAGATACTAGATAAAATGCTTTACAGTAAGCTAAGGAAAATAGTACTTAATGGAATTTTTAGGATAGATTTTTTTTTTTTTCCCAGAGCCATTATTACATATATATCTCATTTTCACATGATACTGCTGAAAACATAAATAATATATATTGGTTAAAATGATTAGACAAATTCATGGAATATAAGTCTGCTTCTAGCCATTGAAAGAAATAATCAGTGTGAGCTCTTGGATGTAAGAAGTTCAGAACTCGGCTCTATGAGTGTTCTTAGGTTTAGTTTACCACCAAGAAAACTGAGAGAGAGAGAGAGAGAGACAATGGCAGTGCAGTTATTTTCACAAGAAGTATTACAAGTTATGGAGCATTTTAAGTCCCAGAGAAAGTCAGTACAAAGCTGACTAACTGGATGCCCTAATCCAGATATATTTGCTAGAGATAAGGTCCAACTTTACTTCTAAGAGTCATCCACTGTAAAACTGTCAAAAGTAGTTGATCTTCCTCCTCAAGTTTTTAAATAAAGGCTGGAAGTATCTCAAAAACATATGATTTAGGCAAATGTAAATTAAATACAATTATTAGTTTCCACAGGAAAGAATGAAAGGGCTGTTCAGCCTGGAGAAGAGAAGGCTGTGTGGAGACCTCCTAGCAGCCTTCCAGTATCTGAAGGGGGCCTATAGGGATGCTGGAGAGGGACTCTTCATTAGAGACTGTAGTGATAGGACAAGGGGTAACGAGTTCAAGCTTAAACAGAGGAAGTTTAGGTTGGATATAAGAAGGAAATTCTTTCCTGTTAGGGTGGTGAGGCACTGGAATGGGTTGCCCAGGGAGGTTGTGAATGCTCCATCCCTGGCAGTGTTCAAGACCAGGTTGGACGAGGCCTTGGGTGATATGATTTAGTGTGAGGTGTCCCTCCCTACGGCAGGGGGGTTGGAACTTGATGATCTTAAGGTCCTTTCCAACCCTAACGATTCTATGATTCTATGAATATACAGACTTCTGATAGGAAGACAGAATGGTGATTTTCTGTCTTTATTTTTACTAAATTATTGTTATGGAACATGAAAGTCTTCATTGATTTTTCTTAGCATAGCATACCAATTCAAAAGTCAAGGCAAAAATTGAAAGAATATTAAGATGTCTGGTTTTGCAACTCTTTTAAGGGTAGGGTTTTTGAGAATCCTTAGTTCAAACAATGCAAAACAAGATCCACTACATTTACTAGAACACAGTAGTTTATTATTTCTTGTTCTCTGAATGTCATGGTGTAGTAAAGCTTGTTTGCACTAAGAAGGGAATGACTGTCCCTTAAGAGATCCCTCCTGTCATGGCATAGTCTACTGGTTCTGCTGGCAGGGAGCTGCACTGAAATCTGGACCCTAGCAATTGACCTAGAAAGGCACAGCACTTTGTTCAAGGCATACTGCTCCCTTATCCGTATCTGTGGGTCCATACTTAATATGCCTTTGGAAGTGAGATCAGCTTTCCACAGATCACATTATTTCATTTTGAAAGCCACAATCCATAGCTTGCAATAATTATGAGGTAATACATTTTAGCAAATTAATAAAAATAGTGAAAATCCATATTTTTAAAAATAATGTGTTAGTTCAAATCTCTTAAAATCTAGAAATGCCTTTTTAAAGTTAGGATTTTTTTTTTTCCTTTTTTTTTTTTACAGACAGGACTGTTTTTCAGTAGTTGTCTTTGGAAACTGATTAGAAATGAAAAAATATTTCTGCTGTCACTTTTTAAATCTATTTCTATAAAAGAGATTCAAGGCAGAACAAAATTGTGATGATAACTGCTTTTTTTATTTAAGTGAGGTTTTGCCTGATATCAAAAAGGTAATTATGAAGTGGATTAATTCTGAGCATAACCAACCCATGCAAATCCACTATGAGTGGAAAAAGTCTACTGGAAATACACATAAGCTATTTACAAATGTATCTTTCAACATACTTGTATGCATGTAGTGCATTATACAGTTTAATTTCCTGCGAATACTTATGACATAAAGCCCCAAGTACTATTTACTGATTTCTTTGTAGACAGTTATGAAGTGTCTAACTGTATGGGAGGACTTGAAGAAGAAAAAGGTAGTAGCCTTAAATATTAATTCAGGGAGCAAAAGCAAGCATCCTGGTACTTGGGAGAAAACTGGATTCTAAGTGGAAATCACTGGCTTGTAGAAGGTTGAACCACACAGAGGTTTGAACCCAAAGTTTGATGAAGTTGAAAAGAGATAAGAAAGCAATTCAAAAATAGATACTGCACCACAAAAGAAAGATGCCTTCTAGAGTCACGTTTCCAGTCATTTACAATA